ATTGTCTCATATAACACAATAACCAAGAGAAACTCACCCGCCATCATCCTCCTAGATCCTACCCACACTCAAGAGAGAATTTTATAGGGAATTTAAACCAGTTGCTAGAAACATTAGGGTCTATCAAAAAATCCTGTCTACTATTATTTATCACCTCATTTTGAAGCAAAACAAATTAACTCTCAGTCTCGAAAATATGGTATTTTTCATCGATCTAAATTTCTTTGAGAACTTGGGTTTTGCCATATTTTGCTAAGAATGCCATCCTTTATACTTTGATTCAAAGAATCTTAGCTATCAGCTTCTAAGTTCTTTACCATACTGAAAAATAAAATTAACTAGTCACTCTTTCTTCACACAGGAAATGACTTGAAATGGCTATTATAAAAGTACCTTATTAAGAACAATTTTAGGGCCTCCCCGGTGGCACAGCGGTTGAGCGCTGGGTTGCGAAGCTGCCCGCAGCCTCTGCGGCGCTGGTTCGATTCCCGGCTGCTCCCCAGCCACCGGAGGAAGGTCCCGCATGGCGCGCAGACCTCTCCTGCCGCCCGCTGCTCCCCTCAGCAGTGTACTTCAGTCCTTCTGCCTGCTCTGCTCCCCGCTCTGGCTCTGGTGAATTCTCTCACCCTCCCGTGCTTCTGACTGTACCCAGTGCTTGTATAAATAAATAAATAAATCTTTAAAAAAAAAAAAAAAGAACAATTTAAAATTACTAACACATAAAATCTAACTCAATACAAAACTAAAATTTTGTGTTGAATGGGTACATTTTCTCTTCATATGATGAAAGTAAGATACACCTGACATAGAAGGTTTCCTCTGAGATCATTCTCTTTAAAAGTCACTTGTGCATGAATATTACACAGGTTTGACTCTAGAGCCACTAAACTAAGACACCTTCCAGTCTTATCCAGTGACATAGGTAATAATCACTGGTTATAAGCTCTGATCTTTTTTTTTTTTTTTTTTTGACTATTTCTAAGCATTGTTTTGCAAGAATTTTACTTTTTTTAAAAGATTTATTTATTTATATGTACAAGAGCTGGGGTACAGGCCAGAGGTGTTGGAGGGGGGTGAGAAGACTCACCAGAGACAGAGTGGGGAACAGAACAGGCAGATTGACAGAAATACACTGCTGAGGGGAGCAGAGGGCGAGTCAGGAGAAGTTCTGCACCATGTGGGCAGCTCCCTGGCCAGGGATCGAACTCATGCTGCAGTGGCTGAGGACAGCCACATTCGTTGTGTCCTAACCCCGTGCGCCACCAGGGAGGCCCAGTTTTGCAAAAATTTTAAAAGAGAATTTTGTGGCGGTAAAAGTAATTCTAATTGGAAATTGATTTAATTACTTTAAACTTACAATATTAGCTTAGACAAGCTGAACATTTTAACCACATTCAGTTTTCTCATCCAGAAATATGGTATATTGCTTCATTTACTCAAGCATTCTTTCATGCCTCTAAGTAAAATACACGTACATTTCATATTAAACGTATTCTTACTTATTTTACATTGTGTTTAGTGTGAAGAAAATTATTACTATTATTATTTTACATTCAAATAATTATGAAAGGGATGCATTTAATGATTTCAAGAATATATTTAAAATCAAAAATCACTGCATATTCTGATGATGCCAAGTCAAGCAGAATTTCTACTATCTTAAGAGTAGGTAAAGAATTCAAAACTAATGAAAAGTAGAGGAAAAAAAAATCAGAATCAAAACAGCAGCGTGTACTTAATGATTTTTTAAAAGTATAAGGAGAAACATTATGAGGCAACACAAAAGACACAATGGACTGAGATCAGAGTCGTCCATAAGCTAAGCAGAAATGTAAGGTGTATAATGCTCACTGAAAACAAGCAAACAATGGGCAAGACATTAGATTAAGTTTAAGTAGAGAAAAGGTCAAGCAAGGGTCAACAAAGAATCATCTTTCTTCCTTCAGCACTACCTGGGTCCTTGTATAATACTGCACTTTTGGGAGTTAGCCTTTTAGCAATAATAATATCTTCTTTCACCGTAGTTTATTTTCTTATACAAATATCTTAGAATCATTAAATTATAAGCTGTTAGATATACTTGGCAACTTAGACTTCCTGGTTTGTCTTTTTCATTTAAAAAATGAGGAAGTCAAACTCCAATTAACTGAAGCTAATCACCAATCAAATAAATTCTTTTCCCTGTGATTTTCATTTTTTAAAGACATCAGAATTCATCCAAACAAAGAAGCTGGGTCATCTTAAACTTCCTCTTCTTTTTATCCCATATCCAATAATCCAAGTGCTATTTATTTTTATTCTATACATCTTGTTAACTCATAGCAACTAATGTAGTTCAGGTCCTCATCGTTGCTTCCATTCTTTCACAAAACAAATATTTCTGTGCAACTTCTGTCATACACATACGGCACCAGATGCTGCAAATACAACCACAGAATTCTGTTTGTTCTACAGGTTCTCAGTTATTCTTTATTTTGATCCATGTTCAATACATTTCCTAGAGATTGTTTTACAAAACAAAAATCTTACTTGCTTAAAATTTCAATAGTTTTCTACTACCGACACCGATTTAAAATCAAACCCATTAGTTTTTTTTTTTTTTTTTTTTTTAGTATGATCATCCTTTGTTTCAGACCCTTTCCTTCTTTGTACATGTCTTTGGCTACCATCCTACAGATCCTGTGACAGGTTGAAAAAGGAATATTAACTTTTACCCAAATATGACAGGCACCTTCATACTGCACACACAGAATGCTAGCCTTCCTTTTTCTAGTATATTTAAGGGAAAGTATGTCTCCTGTCTGATCCTTAATCATCCCCTTTGCTATTGCTGCTGCATGAGATATGATTTTCCCTACAGTTCTCATTAAACTCTGGTCATCATTCACTCTGTCTGGGCACCTTCTCAAAATCCAGGGCTCTCTGTTCCTCTATATAATTATTCTTAGTGCCCAAAGGAAAGGAAGCATTAATACTTTTGTTCCTAGCCTTATTTTTTCATGACAAAAGACTTTTCTCCTTCTCCCCCTATGAAGGAACTGCATTCTATAATACCTCCCAGGGTGAGTATTCACCTTATTTTACCCATCCAGGAGACCTACCCCTAATCATTGTAGTTCTAGAACCATGGTTCTTTAGGAACCATGAGGATTCAGCAGCCTAGGGTAGCATAGTCTAAAAACTCCAAAAATGTCTTGGCACTTCATGTAGAGTTTTTTAGATTTCCATAATAGTGTGAGGTGCCAATATGCCTCTTAGCTCTTCTAGTATTTTTGGAATGGGCAACTATTGAAACATACTATAGAGGAAGAAAAATAATCTTTCCCTCTACCCTAGTATGTTTTTCACTGAGACATTCTCTGTAATAAAAAACAGATTAGCGAAAGAAAAATAAAGTTCACATTACTGGGGACCAAAAGATACAAAGCCCAAGGAAGTGACTAAAGCAGGCAGCTTTTAAATACTTTTTAAACAAAGTAGTGTTGACAAAACAAAGAGGTTTGGGCCTGTGAAGAAGTAACAAAGTTTGTTTATACAATTTTTCCTAAATTCTGTATCTCTGGTGATAGTGAAGGTATCTTTCACTTGGGGGATTTATCTCCTGTTTTGAAGGAGGAGTTTCAGACTTTCCTTTTTGTATCTATTGTTACTAATGTAACTTTAACTCAAAATAATCAATATTCCAGAGAACTATATTTTGGAGCAGCCTATTTTGCACCCCTACTACATACATGCAAATATATAACTATAAAGATAGGTGTATTTTTATTAAGGACACACCCATGTTTTATAAGAATATTAGAAGTAATGACAAAAAACCACCTTAAGACAATTTTTTTCTATATATAAAAAATCTGCACTATTTTCCCTGGCCAGTGTACATAAATATATTTATTTTAATAAGTACAAACTTACCTTCTTTTTCAAAGTCCCAGATAAATCCCAAGTGACTGCTGAGATAATGCTTTTTATTTTTAAAGTGGGTCATTAGGATTCCTTTGATACAGAGAGGAATCTCAATAAAAAGGGATGGTTCCAAGTTCCCTGCCCCATCTAATGAAGGGTGAAGACTCCAAGGAGGAACATGGAGCAAACAGAGACAAGTGAAAACAAAGTCCTGCTTGCTTCTCAACTTAGGACTTACACCATGGACTTGGGAGATATAGGAGGGGACACATGGAGTCAAGATATATGGAGACACTGGGAAGACATGTAGGGAGGCTGACAATGGTAACCATTACCTTGATTTGTACTTTGATTTTGCTCCTTTCACCCCAGACTTGCCTGGCTCCTTCTATCCCTTTCCTATGGTTCCCTGTCAGAAGATGCCTTAGACTTGCCTTAGCAACTTTTTAGGGCTTAGCAACCCTGCTTTGGGCCAACCCTGTTTGGCTGGGCATTTACCCCCAAAGGGTTGGGTAATTTTTGTGTTTTATTGGGAAACTATCATCCATCCTTCTCTCTCTATGCATACTAATCCTATCAACATACTTTCACACTAAGAGCATGCTTTGTCTTTATGTAGCATGTGGCAGAACCTTTTTACAGTGTGCAAGTTTTGGGATTCTGGGGTGCCCCTCAGTCTGCACACTAAAACCTTCACAACTATTAGGATTATCCAAGGCATGATTCTGTCTAGAACATTTTAAAAACCCAGAACTTAGACAAATAGATGTTAGAGAGAAAAGAAAGGGATTGCCCTTTTATTTAAAATATGTTCATACTGGGCCTCCCAGGTGGTGCAGCGGGTTGAGCGCAGTACTGTGAAGCTGTCCACAGCCTCTCAGAACAGGTTCGATTCCCAGCCAGCCAGAGAGATACCCACATGGTGCGGCAGACCTCTTCTGTCTCACCTGCTGCTCCCCTCAGCAGTGTTTTTGGTCCGTCTGCCTGTTCTGCTACCCACTCTGTCTCTGGTGAGTCCTCTCACCCTCCCATGCCTCTGGCCTGTACCTCAGATATTGTATAAATAAAATAAATCTTAAAAAAAATGTTCATACCTTTTCATGTATTATTTCTTCTGCAAAAAAAAAAAAAATCACTTCTAATGGAGAGACTCAAGTTGAAATGTCTTCTCTGTGATTACTGTAGAGCTATCCAGCAATCTTTCCTGGTCTTCTCGTCTGTCCCTCACAGCCTGCGCCCTCCTATAAGGAAAAAAAGTTTTATACTTTGTCTTCTAGTACTTAGAGTAGGTGCTGAGAAAGCATTTTGTGAATGAATTAGGAGGAATAAATTTCCAAATTTATACAAGTTGTAGCAGAGTAGATCCAGCCTTTCTGAACTGTTAATCTAGTACTTTCCAAAATCATGATCTAATTTAGACAGTTTATTTCCAAATTGCAGGCTTGAAATCTGAGATTTCACCCATAATGTCAGAAATGCCATTAGTTCAGACAGGATAGGTAGATTATGTTACAGTAATGACTTCAAAATTTCAAAAGCCCAAAACAACAAATGTTTACTGTGCTGTGTGTTGGGGTGTGTATGTGGGGGGGAGGGGAGGGCGGGGATCATTATCTTTACTCAAGTCAATACAGTCAGTACTAAATACTGCTTATCTCTGTGCCATTGAAAAGAAGCATACTGTAGCAATGATAGATGTGGCCTGAAAGTAACAAAGGTTGCTTTCATTCACAACTTAAAACTGCTGTGGTATCATTGCTAAAATTAAAAACCAAGGCCCCAATTCCTTGTCCAGCAGGCAATTTTGGAGGCTTGAATGGATAAAAGGAGTGGATGGAACTGCCTTGGGAACCTGGACATTAAGTTGATGATCCGAAAATCTTGTGATCCTCTACGGTAATTCAGATCATCAGACTGAAGACTAGTCACCTTAACTAGTAACCCTAACTGCCTGGAGTATAAATAGAGCCTTCAGACCTTCACTCTCTGTGCAGCCCACCCCACCTGTCTTGCCCTCTGACTCCCTTAGCAGTGTATTTCAATAAATCTATCTGTTCTGTTCTCCACTCTGTCTCTGGTGAATTCTTTCATCCCTGCACCTCAGGCCTACACCTGATTCTCTCAGACAAAAACTAGTAACATAGTTCCCATTCACCAACAAGGAGATCATGAATTGCAATTCTACTATGATCCTAGAAATGCAAGTTGATCAGGACTAACAGAAACTAACAGAAACTTATGTTTGTTGAGTATAATTTTCTCTAGCCTTATTTTTTTTTAAGATTTTATTTAAGCATACAAGAGCTGGGGTACAGGCGAGAGGCACAGGAGGGTGAGAAGATTCACCAGACAAAGAGTGGGAAGCAGAACAGGCAGACGGACCAAAAGCACTGCTGAGGGAAGCCTGGCTGGCTGGGAATCGAACCCGCACTGCAGAGGCTGTGGATAGCTTCACAGTGCTGCGCTCAACCCGCTAACCCTCAGGGAGACCCTAGCCTTACATTCTTTATACCAGGAAGTTCTGGCACCAACTCATTTCAGAAAAGATATAGTAGAAAGTTCAGATAAGATAAATGTGAAATTGTTTGAGGAATCATACATTTTGGTTTAAAACCAAGATATGTGGGTGAAAAGCAGCTGTCTTCAATAACAGAGTAGGTAATTGTGACTACAGGAAAAACCATGGCTAGTTGTTCCCAGATAACAGAGAAAAATAAAAGGAGTTCATGGTAGGAAAACCCAAGATTCTAGACTTAAGTTCATTACTAAGTAGCCATATGCCTTCTGTTAGTATCTATCTTACTATTGTACATAAAATGAGAACAGGGAGAGATGTGTAAGGTTCCTTGCAATTTGAAATTACTTAATTCATATAAATCAACTTATTATAACTGAACAATGGAGTAACCATTATAGTAATTAGGCCAATAGTGGTCACTGTATCAAATACACCCCAATATATCAATAGTTTAAAATAATATAATTTTGATTTTCAACCACATAACCATATTTCTGTCTAATGGCTTTTTTTCCACACTGATTCAGGGGCCCAGGATTTCTTTCACCTAGTGACTCCATCATCTGGAGGTCTTGAGAGTCTATGCTTTTAATCAAAAGGAGGAGGAGTGGAGTAGTAGCACTCATCACTGCTACTTACCTGTTGAGCAGGTGAGAACATGGTGAGAACATCTGGCCTCATCTGGATGTGAGGGGGGCTGGGAAATGCAGTCCATATTTGGAGATTCACCTATGTCATACTGTAGAAGTAGAGAATTAAATTTTTAGAGAATATCTAGTCCTCTCTGTCATATTATATTTCTTGATAGTCATGTTCCTCCTCTGAAGAATTAACCACTACTCTGCTGTTTCACCTGCTCTCAGACATAATGCTGTCATGGTACATGCATCACTTGATTCCTTTAGGTTGTAACGATTCGAAAGTACAGGGACAGGGGCCTCCCCAGTGGTGCAGCGTGTTGAGCGCAGCGCTGTGAAGCTGTCCACAGCCTCTGCAGCGCCGGTTCGATTAACGGCTGGCCAGAGAGATTCCCACATGGTGCGCAGACCTCTCCTGTCTCGCCCACTGCTCCCCTCAGCAGTGTATTTCGGTCCTTCTGCCTGTTCTGCTCCCTGCTCTGTCTCTGATGAATTATCTCACCCTCCCGTGCCTCTGGCCTGTACCCCAGTGCTTGTATAAATAAATAAATCTTAAAAAAAAAAAACAAAAAAAAAACTTAGAAATAAATAAATAAATGAATCTTAAAAAAAAATAAAGAATAGTTTCTTCTTAAAAAAAAAAGTACATAACAACTTTTTATTCAGTTTACATAGCCCTATTCCTGGAACAGAGCATTTACTCAATAATGTTTTTAACTAAATGAGTTTACTCAAAACCCTCCCCGTGTCATTTTTCTGTTTTCTTAGTTTTGTTAATTTGTGGAAGATTCTTACATTTATAGGTATTTTGTTATTGCTTATACCTGGTCAAGTTGTTGATGGTATTTTTTGAAAAATCATATATTAGTGCCTAGAAATACATGATGATTTCCAGACCTTTATTCTCCACTGGAAATCACAGCCCCTTCACAAATAGATGGAAGGAAAGGTTCTTTTTTAATAACCTGATATCATGGATAGGATCTTGAAATGTTCCTTCATTCTTGCAGTTTATGATCATAAATCTTCAGTTTTTATGTGAAAAGGACATCTCATCATAGTACTTCTAGAAAGATAACAGACTATGTAAACTTAAAAAAAAATGATGTATGTGTACCCTGATAAACATTATTTGCACTTTAGAGAAAACACCTGAGAAGACCTGTCCATAATCAACAATGGATTATTTTTCAAAAATTAACTTTTTGGTCAAATTTTATTTAGTTGAGACTAAACATTTAAATAAGTAATGATATGTTTAATGCAGAATTCACTCATTTATCCCAAAAACCCTTATTACTAACTATTTTAACTTTTTAACCTAGATTAATTAGGGGGAAAATCAAACCATTTTTTTCAAATCACCTAGAAAATTAAAAAATGCCCTGCACTGAATATGTAGCAAGGTCCACAGGGAACATTTTGAATTATAACTTATGGTTTCTGTAACATCTCGATAGAAAGAGGAGGTTCCAGGTTTCCTAACCCACCCAGGGAGGAGTGGAGATGAGCAGTGAGAAGCTAGAAAAGACTAGGTAAGGATTTGGGAGAGGAAGGAAGGAGAGGATTTGGGGGATTCCCTCCCAGAAGGTGCCTTAGATTTGTGGCCCCAGTTTGGACCAATTCTCTTTGGTTGGGCATTTACTCATGAGGGAATGGGTAACTTTGGGTGCTTTACTTGGAGACTGTATTCTTTCTTTTTCTATTCTTTCTATTGTGTACTACTTCCATGAAAGTTTGTTTCCACTGAAGGTCTTGCACACTAAGAAAATGTTTGGATTTTATACAGTGAATGGCAGAACCCACTTAGAGCCTGCAAGATTTGGGGTTCTTGGGGTTCTCTCATTCTGATCACTAACAGTTCCTTTTTTTTTTTTTTTTAAGATTTATTTATTTATCTATACAAGAGCTGGGGTGTAAACCAGAGGTGAGGAGGGTGAGGGGATTCACAAAAGACAGAATGAGGAGCAGAACAGGCAGACTGACAGGAAGTCACTGCTGAGGGGAGCAGCATGAGAGACAAGAGAGGTCTGCTGGGCCATGTGGGTCACCTTCCTGGCCTTTGGATTGAATCAGTAATTCACTGGCTGCTGATAGCTTCACAGTGTTGAGACCTAAGCCCTTGCACCACCAGGGAGGCCCCACACTAACAGTTCCTTTAAGGATAGAGTCTATACCTGTTACAGGGCAGGGAGAGGGACACCCCGGAGCCCCCAAACCTGCCATCCGCTGCACCAGCACAAAACATGGGAGACTTTAATGAGAAGGGACTTTAACTCAATTAGTAAACAATACAGAAAAGACAAAGAATATAGTTTTCAAATCAAACACCCACAGTTACCCATCCTCTCATGAGTAAAAGTCCACCCAAACAGGATTGGCCCAGAGCAAGGCCCGAAAGCCTGCCATAGGTCCAAAGCACCCTTCAGTGGGGACCCACAGAAAAGAATGAGAAACAGCCAGACAAGTATGGGAGGAAAAGAGCAAAATCAAAATCAAGACAAAAACCAACATTGTCACCTCCCCAGGAGTCTCACCCACATCTGTGTCAACCAGTCCACGACCAAAATGCAAGCACAGTTTCTTCACGTCTCTCGGCTCCATGTGCCTCCTCCAGGGCTCCTTCAGGCTCTCCATCCTGCTTCCTTCCTTCTTCCCTCTCTTCCCCAGCTTCTTTTCTTCTCTTTAGCTCCACCTTCCTTCAGGTGGGGCAGGGAACCTGGAACATCCCATTTTCCTGGGGACCACCCTGTTACATACCTACCCATTGTTTGAATTTTCAATAAATATTAATAAATTACTACTAAAGATAAATCCTCTGTTTTTTTCTAATCCCTTATCAAGACTTTTAGCCCACGATAATGTTGAACTTTACCCAAACCAAATGATGCTGGAAAGCAATGCTGTTGTTTTTTTTTTTAAAGTACCCTTTTGCATTCTATGCAATGGCACTACAGAGAACAATCTCCCCTTGTTCAGAATCATGGGTACTCCCCTTTTTCACCTAGGACAAGATCAGACTAAGTATCTCCTATTCTTTGTCTTGTTAATGATTTACTGGGCAGCTTGTCCCCACTGATCAATTAGAATAGATGGCTATTAATCAAAGTTTAGTTAAACCATCTCTTTCCCCCAGGCTCTGAACTTTGACCCGCCCTTACCTTAAGCCATAAAATTCCTCAATAGCCCCTTCTAAAATAGGCTGGCCTGGGGTAAAATACTCTCTGATTTGACTCCATTCTCACCCTTTCATCCTACTTAGCCACATTTTTTAGTTTGTAGCCTGTTTACTCCTCCCTATAAAAGAAACTTTCAGCTTTCCAGGTTTATTGCAGTATTCATTCCCCCTCCCTCTGTTACAATAGATCTTCCTCCCCACCTCCCACAGTGCAGCAGCAGGCAGTACTCCTTTTTAAAAATTTTCTTCATATTTCAAGATTTGTTCTTTTAAAATAGAATTATTTCCTATCACCACACACCCATATACAAATGTGAACTTCATCCTAGACTCCTTTTTTTCATCACTCTCATAGGGAATGGCTTTCTGATTCCCTGAAATGGGAATGTTTATTACTAATTAACATCCAAGTTGGATAGAGGTAAATATTTAGAACCCATGCCAAATAAAGGTGATTTTGCAAATGAGGAGACTAGATTTTGTCTTCGGTGTTGGGGAGCACTTTCAAGAGACTTCCTGATTTTTAAGAAGTACTCTATTACAAACTCTCTTCCCAAAAGATTGAATATTTACTGCCATCTACTGGTAAAAACGGTAAAATCATGTTAAAATAAATAGCACTGCTTTGTTAATATGTGAACATATTTGCAGAAAAGATAGTCTTCTCAATTATATAACAGAACTAGTATTAAATATTTAAGTTCTATACTCTTTACTTATTGGTCCACTATGTTTAAATATTCCTTTTGTCTCAGATTCTCTCAAAAACATTTTTAATTGCTAAACTATTTATAACTGATTCAGTTAAATAGCTGAACAAGTTTAATCACTGGATAAGTTGAACAGGATAACACAGTTCACTAAATTTTACCAATAGTATTGTTTCACTCTGTGCACTAAAAAGTGTGATCTACAGACCAACAGTACCTGTGTCATCTGGGAACTTGTGAGAAAAGCAGAATGATAGGCTTCTCCCCAGACCCACTTAAACAGAATTTGCATTTTACCAAGATCATTAGGTGATAATGTATGCAGATTTAAGTTTGAGAGGCAGTGGTACGTCTTGTATAGGTAAAAAAAAAAAAAAATACTAGTCAAAGATTATTGGAAAGTAAAAAGGGGAGGGGATCGTTCTCAAGATTGTTATAATTATCCCAAAATCATTTTTCATTTTTCAATCTTCAAATGGATTTCGTCCTGCAATTAAAAATTTTGAATCACTGTAAGATCAACTGAAGAAATCTTGAAACAAATTGTACTTCTGTTAAAGAAAGACAATTAAAGAACAATACCCTGAAGCTATATGTTAATATTACACATTTGTGCTTATTGAGATCATTATTCTGTTCAGCATCATTGATGATATTCTGCATAAGATTAATTACTGAGTCACTTGTGCCAGCAGTCTTCCAAGAAGGTCAAGCAATACTCAAGGGAAAGACAGTTGAGAGTTGAAAGTAAGGTCAATTTGGACAGTAATTCACATGCACATGCACATATATACACACACACAAGAATAATGTCCCACAAATATGAAGTTGACAGTCTACAGAAACCAAGCTTTGACATCTCCCTGATATGAAATAATTACCTCCTCTACATATGAAAATAAACCTCCTCTACATATGAAATAATTACCTATGTTAGAAGGGGTGCCATTTCTTCAAGCAATTTCACTTAGAGAACCAGATGCCTCTAAATTGAGAAAGAACACAGTTAAAACTGTATATTATCTTTTTTGAGACACACTACCGGGGGGGAAAGGAGGGAGTAGGATCAAAACAAGGGAGGTGGGAATTGTATGGGGAATATAACCAGGATGAAAATGCATACGTTGTGATGAAAATGAAAAATGATGTAAAAAATACATAAAATAAAAATTTGTAAAAACCTGTATACTATATAGAATAAAGGGCATGGTTTCAATTTTTCATAAGTTGTACTATATAATACCATTTTCTTTAAAATTTTTGATACTTTCTTCATGATCTAGCACATGGTCAGTACGGTTCTCATTTTAATTTCTAGCCCTTTCAAACCATAGCAAAAGCAAATGAGAAAAATGTCTCTGCTCTGATACTGTTCTTTCTCTTCCCATGTTGCCCAGGTCTTTGGGATTTCCTTTTGTGTAGCATCCACATGTCTGGTCCTTGATCAGTTTTCACTGGAATGAGATTTTATTTTATGTGTACCTGTTAGCAGGTAGACTGAGGGATACCCTAGGGAATCCTCCTTAACATTTATACAATAGGGCCTCCCCTGTGGCTCAGCGGTTGAGCGCTGGGTTGCGAAGCTGCCCGCAGCCTCTGCGGCACTGGTTCAATCCCCGGCTGCTCCCCGGCCACCAGAGGAGGGTCCCACATGGCACACAGACCTCTCCTGCCGCCCGCTGCTTCCCTCAGCAGTGTATTTCCGGTCCTTCTGCCTGCTCTGCTCCCCGCTCTGGCTCTGGTGAATTCTCTCACCCTCCCGCACTTCTGGCTGTACCCACTGCTTGTATAAATAAATAAAAATAAAATAAAATAAATCTTTAAAAAAAAACATTTATACAATAAATGTACTTTGCCAACCACCATATAAGGGCAAAGAATTCTCTTACGGTCAAAGAACTTTAATAGGTTAGCATGCATAGAGATAGGAGAAGAAAGGATAATAGTTTCCCAATAAAACACAGAAAGTTACCCTTGTGGATAAATGCCCAGCCAAACAGGGTTGGCCCAAAGCAGAATCAAACTTGCCACAATTCTCAGGCATCTTCTGGCAGGGAACCAGAGGAATGGGGCAGAAAAGACCAGGCAAATTTGAGATGAAAAGAGCAAAATTAAAGCACAAATCAAGGTAACAGCTGCCATTGTCAGCCTCTCCACAGTCTCTCACCCACATCTTTTCCAAGTATCTGCATATATCTTGACTCCATGCATCTTCATGTCTTCCAAGTCCCTTGTGCAAGTCCTAAGCTGACAAGCAAGCACGCCCTTCTTCACATGATTCTTCTCAACATGCCTCCTCCATGTCTCTTCTCTCCATCTTCTCACTGTTCAAATCTACATGTCCTTCAGTTGGCAGGGAACCTTGAACCTTTCCGTTTTACGGCGATTACTCTCAGTAACAATTCTTCTCTGTAACATACCTGCAATAATAACTGCAGATGTGCTCAATCTCTGGAGTCACATAAAGACCACTTGAATTGCTGAATCTTGATCAATGGTAGATTTTCATAGTACTCTGCAAAAAGGAAAAAAAAATGCTTGCACAAGATTATCAATGACTTCAAACAGTTGCACTCCTCTGTGTTATTATTAGGTTAAAATTGCCCACTGATGTGTTTCATGCTCTAATTTTATCACCATCCAAAGAAGGAATAAAATATATCATTAAGTATTAAGAAACCCATTACCATTACCCTGAGGAATGTGGCACAGTGCATTTAACTAAACTGCTATGTTAAATGTTAAGGAAGAGATTATATCACAGTTTTTGTCTTAGGTTGGACCACAATATACCCCCTCTTCTTTAAAAAAATCTTATTCTTAAAATCAAAATGGTGATGGGTCTGTTGTTTTAACCTGCTTTCTGCTGAAAAGGGTCAACAGTGCCACCCAAAGACAAGGTTTTTGTTTTAGTTCCCATGTGAGAAGTGTTTGAGTGGGTTATGTTCATACCATATAGACTGGAGACTGGGAAATTAAGCAGTGAAAAGCAGCTGCACAAAAATCACAGAAGCAATAGGAAATATCCAACAAAATAGTATGCTATGCCAAGGGTAATGGTTAATATGATTAGTAACATTTGCTGTCATGTTCTATTCCAACAGCCCCATGAACCAAGCCATGAGTTTAGAGGTGATGACATATCAGACAATGACTGAACCCATAAAAGATGTGAAATATTGGACAAATAGTCCAGGTTGCAAACATAGCATTCAGTCCCTTTATCTGGAGAATGATTCAGTCAATTAAACAGTGGCACAAGGAGTTAAGTGTCAGCACTATGAAGCAGTCTGCAGATACCACAGCACAAGTTCAATCCCTGGCCAGGGAGCTACCCACATGGCGCAGCAGACCTCTCCTGTTGTGCCTGCTACTCCCCTCAGCAGTGTATTTCAGTCAGTCTGCCTTTTCTGCTCCTCACTCTGTCTCTGGTGAATCCTCTCATCCCCCACACTTCTGGCCTGTACCCCAGCTCTTTATGTATAAATAAATAAATCTTTTTAAAAAATGATAAAAAATATTTCTATGAAAACATAGAAAAATTGAAGATTGAAGAAAACTACAAGTCCATTCACATCTCCTGAGGAAAACCAATGAAGAGTTCCAAATTGAGGGTTGAAGTAACTTTAGATGAAGTGAGGGCAAGACAATTGTTTCCCTGTTTGCAGTTTGAGGTCATCAGGTATAGGGGAATCAGCTGTAACAGTCATTTTTTAGTTACAACCATCTTAGTGATCTCTCTGAAGTTGTCTTTCCACATTCCCAATATTCATGGTTTCAGAAAAAGGCAGTTTTAGTTTTCAATCAATCAAAGTCAAAAAGATTGGGAGAAAGGGCCTCCCTGGTGGCGCAGGCAGTTGAGCGCAGCTCTGTGAGGCTATCTGCAGCCTCTGCAGTGCCGGTTTGATCCCCACCGGCTGCAGAGCAACCCACATGGCAAGCAGACCTCTCCTGTCTAGCCCACTGCTCCCCTCAGCAGTGTATTTCAGCCAGTCTGCCTGTTCTGTTCCCTGCTCTGACTCTGTGTATCCGCTCACCCTCCTGCACATCTGGCCTGTACCCCAGTTCTTGTACAATTAATAAATATATCTTAAAAAAAGAAAAGATTGGGAGAAAATTTGGAAAGGTTATTTTGATAAGTCATAACAAAATTTTAGAAAAATTCAGAATCCAGTCTAATTTACATGTAAAAGCAAAAACTTCAAAAATGATTTAAGAAGATCAGAATATGTTGTCCAAAAACAGATATTACTGAAACATATTTCCTTCTCCATTTCTACTTCAATTCTACCAAATAATAGTAGTTAAATTCATTGGTAAATTAAGTCTAGTTCTAATAAACTTGGCCAGTTTTTTTTTTTTTGTTGTTGTTGTTTTTTTTTTTTTTTGAATAAGCATAAGAACAAAATATAACCACATAATTTTAAAAATCTTCTTTGCTGGAACTTTTCATAATGAATCTCAAATTGAGCTCTTTTCTTAATGACCAGTCTCAAGGCTCAGGACCATGCCAGGGTCTAACTGTCGGATCTTACCTATATTGTTGGATAAGTTCCTCTGCTTGTGTTTCTGGATCTACCAAAGTTTGACATTTAGGGCCTCCCGGTGGCGCAGCGGTTGAGCGCTGGGTTGCGAAGCTGCCCGCAGCCTCTGCGCCACCGGTTCAATCCCTGGCTGCTCCCCGGCCACCAGAGGAGGGTCCCACATGGCGCGCAGACCTCTCCTGCCGCCCGCTGCTCCCCTCAGCAGTGTACTTCGGTCCTTCTGCCTGCTCTGCTCCCCGCTCTGGCTCTGCTGAATTCTCTCACCCTCCCACGCTTCTGACTGTACCCAGTGCTTGTATAAATTAAAAAAAAAAAAAAAAAATCGAAGGAAAAAAAAAACAAAGTTTGACCTTCCTTACTGATTTCCTAATAGACTTGGAATCTGACAGGAAGGCATACAGGCTGCCTTTTCATTAAAAGTATTGAGATCTGTGGATTCCTGAAATCAATCCTGTCTCAAATATAACATTCTGATCAAAGTCTCAGTAATACAACCATGCTTACAACAATATATCATAGAGGGGTAGATGGAATCTTATTGGATTTATTAAAAAAAATGCAAACCATGAGAAACACAAATACTTAATATTAGTTCACATTTGGGGGGTGTCAGAGAGAGAAGAAAAACAAATGTATCATTTCACAAAATGATGTAATTTACAATTGCTACAGAACATAGTTCAAGTCAAAGTTTTCTATAAAAAGCAAAACATTAAAAAATAATATTTTAAAAAGTGATTAGAAATTATATTAGTCCTTCACAATTCATTCTATGTAGCAAATTTTGATCTCTTGCTAGCAATTTTTATGTCTAGTTTTTTTCTTTAGTTCTGCAATTTTTTAACTTTGGTTCCATGACAAACCTGTATTTCTAGAGTATTTGTCAGAGTCCTGTTCCTGTGATTTATCTGAATATGAAATATTAAAATAAGTTATATGTATAAATAGCAAAAGACTTTAAAATAATAATAATGAAGATCTGATTATAAGGCAACTGACAAAGAAGTATGCTTAACTTTATAAGTATTTCAGAATAACCTTAACTGACATGGTTAATTTTTAAATGTTTCATGATGCTTGAAAATGAGCATTTTTTAGTTACTTAATGCTAAGTATATAATAACAATCAAAATTGTTGTTCATATTTTCTACATCTTTGTGATTTTTTTCTCTGCCTGACACATCATTTTATATAAGAATATTAATATCTCCCATTATGATTATGAATTTAAATTTCATTTCTTGTTTTAACAGTTTTTGTATCCTATCCTTCAAAGTTACTTTGGTAGCTGATATTTTCCTGACCAATGCTATATTGTGACCCTTAACTCTAAGTAATGCTTACTTAAAATTTTTATGATTTAATGCTACATAAAATTCACAGGCTAAAAGCATAGTTTTCAACAAGATTCCCCTCACCTCAGATGCTAGTCACAAGTTAAGGGTTTCTGAGGAAGACAACAACTTTTAAAAGCTGGCTATAATTTCCCCATGCCACCCTCCAGTTCCATTGAAAATGCTATGCTTATAATCATAGTATTACTATAGCAATAGGATATAAATTAAAGGAGAAACACAGGGTTCTAAACACAAAGCTTATATAATTCCCTCCACATCAAAGAGACAACAGGCACTGGTGAAGATGTGGTAAACTGGCAACTCTACACTGTTGTCACTGGATGAATAGATAAAAAAGATCTAGTACATATATACAATGGAATATTATTCAGTCGTGAGAAAGGAGTATTTTCTACCATTTGTGACAACATGGATGGACCTTGTATCTGGATTATTTTAACATTTTAATGGGCTTACTACCTCTAATCTTGTTCCCTTCAAACCCAGTTTATTGTTTAGACTCAGAAAGATCTTTTTGTATTACCTACTTGATTATGCACTACTTCCCTCAAAACCTTATATTAGCTTGCAACTCTTGTCAGAATAAGGTACCAAGTTCTGATAGTGCCTTTCAGAAGATAATTTAAATCAATTTCATTTCTTTAAATTCATCCTAATCTTTGTGTTCTTCAGGCCATTGCTCTTGCTTTTGTTTCTGCCTGGAATATTCTTTCCACATCATCTCGCATTACATGTGGCTAATGCAGCTGAGCACCTTAATACTTGAATAAAATTTCCCCGAATCTTGAAGGGCTAGTTTAGATGTGCCCTCGACAACCATCAAATACTGTCACAGCACTGAGAACTTAATTCTCATTACAGTATTTATTACTCCATTATAATTACCTGTGTACCCGTTTTCCCAACTAACTCTCTAAATTTCTTGATGGTCAGCATCATTTCTTACCTTATTTACTATTCTGTTTTTAAATGCCAACCAGTGTCCTCTTCTTTTCTGAATGCATGAATTAGTAAAATAACAAATTATTGAGAAAAAGATATGTGTTTGGTTGTTGCCAGCATTATTTTTTTTTCTGTGAATTGAACTGTTCCCAAACTTATTTTTAAAGAATGTTTCGCTAATTTTAATAAACTGGTTTATTGTTCTAAAGATAGAAAGAAATAACATTTTATTTTATGTAAGATAATCTCCTGTTGGACTCCATCCAGATAGGTTAGCTGTGATGTCCCCAAAGTATTTCATTGTATGGAGGCCAGACTTAAAATACATGGATGCCAAAAATACATGACTGAAACAGATGTCTCTCTCAGAGGGTAAGCCTTCTAAGTACAAAAAAATGTTTCTATATTTTGCTTCAGTACACACATATGCTTGACCCTCAAGGAAAATATGTGAGAGACAACAGGTACTTAAGTATAGACATGAAATTTTTGTTCATAAAATAGAATTACTTTAACAAACCACACACACACACACAAATGTCCTCACTAACTGGAAAGAAAATGATTTTTTTTTTTTTTAAGGAGAGATAAATAACATATTTTAAATGATGTCATTCCCTTACCTTGCCAAACTGGAGCCATGAAAGTGTACAGCTTTCCAGAACACTTTAGGTCACCTTTCAAGGATGAAAATAAAACCAAACAAAAAACTAGCACATTTTTGTGAACAAAAGCAGCACAAATATGATAATTTGGTGTATTACTGCAAATAAAGTATGCACGTTGAATGCTTCAGAGAAATGCAACATTGCTATAAGCTAATAGGCTCTTCCTTGTAACTATATTCCAGGACACCTAACAAACATGTCCAGGTGACAGGATGACATAGTTTCAAAGTGAGGCCATTAATTTGGTGACAGCACTCCATTAAACTAACCCTGCAAATCATTTTATTGGAGGAGTGAAATACTGAAGAGTGGGACCCTTGTTTACTGTCATTATTGACTAATTACAACATGATTGCTTAGAAACAAGCCAATTGTTTGCAGCTTGTAGAAAGATAACAAAGATAAAGAAACTCCCATTTGGAGCAACTCAGCTTTCTAAGGGGATACATTTCTCTTTCTGACTCTTGCAATGAATACAAAGAAAGAAATCTGTTCTGTTTTGAGTGGGATGAAAGGGAATGATTCTCAGTTAAGGTAGCATGTTTACTATAATCCATTTTTATTCTATGGATAGACTGTATGTCAATTTCAATAGAATTCTGAATAACCTATTATCTAATATTTCTTTCTCTTTTTTTAAAGATTTATTTATTTTTATACAAGGCTGGGGTACAAGTCAGAGGTGTGGGAGGGTGTGAGGATTCACCAGAGACAGAGCAGGTTGCAGAACAGGCAGACAGACCAAAATACACTGCTGAGGGGAGCAGCAGGTGAGACAGGAGAAGTCTGCTGCACCATGTGGGTATCTCCCTGGCCGGCCGGGAATCGAACTCGCACTGCAGAGGCTGCGGACAGCCTCACAGCGCTGCGCTCAACCTGCTGAGCCATGAGGGAGGCCCTAATATTTCTTCTTATACACTATTAAAGTTAAATATTTAACCCTGATAAAATTAAAATTTAGATTTTGGTTTCCAATGTAGAGATGTAACAATAATAGAAAAATATTGATTTAACTATATGAATCAAATCTCTCTTATGGCTACACTTGTCAGGTTTTTAACTTAATCTGAGTTTGCCATTAGGCAAACTCATGAGATTCATTTGGAATCATTCTCCCAAATACATAATCAATTTTGATTATCCAAGATAGCTGACTTTAGGAAATACCAGAGATAACTAAATCTACAGATTACTCCCTTGCCTGGACCTCTACTACCAAATTTCACAAAGCAACTTCATTTCAAGTTGAAATATTGACAAACAGGAGAATGATTAGAAGGCAGGTAACAAAAAGAAATAGAAACAAGGATTATGGAAAAGGTGTTAACTGCATGCTGAACTCAAAATTCCTTTAAGAGATAAAGGTAGGGCCTCCCCGGTGGCGCAGCGGTAGAGCGCTGGGTTGCGAAGCTGCCCGCGGCCTCTGCGGCGCCGGTTCAATCCCCGGCTGCTCCCCGGCCACAGGAGGAGGGTCCCATATGGCGCGCAGACCTCTCCTGCCGCCCGCTGCTCCCCTCAGCAGTGTACTTCAGTCCTTCTGCCTGTTCTGCTCCCCGCTCTGGCTCTGGTGAATCCTCTCACCCTCCCGCGCTTCTGACTGTACCCAGTGCATGTATAAACAAAACAAACAAACAAACAAATAAATAAATAAAAACATGCCTCTATTAAAAAAAAAAAAAAAAGAGAGATAAAGGTAAAAAAAGAAAAAGAGGATCATTTGAACAAAATGCAAGTTTGTCTTCTGGGTTTAAATAATAATGTAGAGTCTAACATGCTATGGGACATACACCGAATAATTGAACAAGTCTTATGGGGCAATGGAATAAAATCTTCATTTCTGTAACTATGGAAGGATATAGTAATTAGTTAAGCATTTTTTACTCATTTACAAAATATCCCTTGAGTGCTTATGGTACTATGATATGTGCAGGAATACTGGTCATAAGACAGGTACAGTAAATGCCTTTTTGAATCTAGTAGGAAAACAAATTATTAAGTACAAGACTATAATTAATTGATTGATTAATTAGTTAACACTGTGAAAAGTCTATGAAGAAATAAATGGTGCTATGAAAACACAAAATAAGGACCTGACTGAGAGTAGGAGGGGTGTATATTCTGAAGAAGCAAAGTTTAAAAGATCATGAAAGATTTATACAATTTAACCTTCACTGAGTACATGTGGTGCATAAAATGCCTACACTTTGTAAATACTTTTATGTTTGTGTATAGTACTATACTTTTTGATAATATTTGTGGTCACACAAAGAATGTAGAGTTATTCACAAATAACTATAATAGAAAGTAGAAAATGTTGCCACCATCAGAGAAGTGCTCATACATTTTAGGCATATCGATAGAGGAGAAATTTCCGCTTAATTTTCTTCATAATATTAGTTAAAGGGAATTAAAGATAGACACCAATCAGATTAGCTGAATAACAATAGCAAACGGTGTACCTCTAAATGACTTCCCAGAGCCAGGAAAGGGTAACAAAGGCTGAACGAACAGCTTCTCTCTGCACACTACAATATCCTACCCAAGAAAGAGTACTATCAGCACATCTTTCTGGACCAGATTCTATAATAACCTAAAAACAATGCCCTCAGGGATCCTCAATAGCTGGGATTTCTAGTGGACAATGAATGGGTATAGGGCTATTAATTTAGGGACATGAAGGTTAATTTACTGATTTCAAAAGTTTCCATTTTATGCCTCCTCATTCAACAGACTGAGTTAACATCACCCCTAGGACACAGGCTTTTATTTACCAAAAATGGTTGAAATCTGCCAAGTTTTTTTTTAGCCTTCATATCAGTATAAATCCTGAGGAACATGAACCCAATATATGGAAGTTACGGTACTTTAATGAATGGGCCAAGTGGTAAGTAGTATCTGTGTAAGTCAGTATTGATTAAAAAACAAATGAATCTCAAAGAACAGTTAATATTTGTTCCTTTAAGAATTCTGAATGTCGGGCCTCCCTGGTGGCACAAGGGGTTAAGATGCAACCTATGAAGCAATCCGCAGCCACTGCAGCATGAGTTCGATCCCAGCCGGGAGCAACCCACATGGTGCAGCAGACCTCTCCTGTCTCACCCGCTGCTCCCCTCAGCAGTGTATTTCAGTCAGTCTGCCTGCTCTTTTCCTCATTCTGCCTCTGGTGAATCCTCTCACCCCCCACACCTCTGACCTGTACCCTAGTTCTTGTATATATAAATAAATATATATTTTTTAAAAAAAAAATAATTCTGAATGTCTTCCTAGGTAAATGATGGGGAAGATCACCACCCCTCATATGGCAGTAACACCTCCCATTTACTGTTATAAATCTGTACAGAATGCCATAATCATCTTGCAAAGGAAGAAGTATACTTGCTCACTGTCATTCAAAAGCATTTTGTATATCATGGGCATTTTCCGTATTCTAGGTAGACAAATAAGAGAGGTCTTTGTAATGTGCTGATGACTACCTTCTGCAAGCAGTGGACCCAATATTTGAACACATAATCTTATCTTCCTTACTATTATTCCCCCACTGTTCAATGATGGTTAATCTTCAAATCTTTATTAAAATTTCACTTTTAACTTGGAGTTGCAAAGTTTAGAGATTAAGGGAAGAAAGAAGTTTGTTGAGAAGAAAAATGTTTGCTACTTTCCAAATCACATCCCTTACGGCTATAGATAATATCATCTGCTACACTGGGCTCGCATCACCTGCTATGCTGAGAAGATCTCATGGAAGCTAAGGTCTGCATGTGTCAGTTTATCTTAATTTAAAAAGGATTTTTAAAGTGGCTAAATATTAAAAGATTAAGAAGCACTTTTTAAGTACTGTTTTTACCTATCCACCTAATTCAGTGTACATTTATTGATATTTTCATGTTGTATGTTTCCTCTTTGCTGCTTCCTAGAAAGTAATTTGGTGCCTTATTTATTTTCTTGCATCTGCTACAGATGGTTCTGTCACTTAAACTGTTGAATCTGTAAAAGCTACTCACCTACATATTCAATAAGATATGTGAGGGTTACAGGTATCCTTTTGAATTAATGTTTTTGTGTCCTTTGGATAGATTCCTGAGAGTGGAATCTGGGTCATATAGTAGCTCCATTTTTAGTTGCTTGAGAAACCTCCACACAGTTTTCCACATTGGTTGGGCCAGTTTGCATTCCCAGTGTAGGGGAGTTTCTTTTACTCTACATCCTCACCAGCATTTCTTGTTGCTAGTTTTTTTGTTTTTTGTTTTTTTGTTTTTAATATGTGCCATTCTCACTGGTGTAAGGTGGTATCTCATTGTGGTTTTGATTTGCATTTCCCTGATTGTAAGTGATGTTGAACATTTTTTTCGTATAGCTGTTTGATATCACTTATAGGAGGAATACAGGGAAACCAAATAAGGGGTCAGGAAAAAAATAATAATAAATAAATAAATTAAAAGGCAACTATAAATCACAGACATTCTATAGGGGAGGAGGGGAAGGGATCAAAACAGAGAAGGGAAGAGCACAGGGGACTTTGGTGATGGTGCATGGCTGAATTGGTGGTGGGAATTTTATGGGGATATACCTAAGAGGAGAAAGCATACATTGTGCAAAAACGAACAATGATATAAAATAGAAAGAAAAAGATATGTGAGGGTTAAAATGAGTTAACTACAACTCAAGATAGATACCAGAAATGAAGAAAGCAGAATCACTGGGATATACACACATTTACTCACTTAATGAAAAAACAAAAATATGGATGTTGTAGTGCATTGTAGTAGAGACTAATCTGATTTTCAGTGACCCTAATGACTGATAGCTCTAAACAGTCCTATATTTTTGCACAACATTCAAACAAATCAGTTATTTATTCATAGAAACCTTTTCTATTCCCACATTATTATAACTGAGAAAAAAAACCTAAACCTATATGTCACTGTGCTGTTGGCATTCCATTTTAGATATACCTTTACATTTTCATTTGGAAATCATTTGGAATTCTGTGTTAAATCTTCTTTTGTTAT